CTCTTCATCTTCATTCTTGAACCCTTCACTCATGTCTATCACTGCCATGGCCGAATCCTGTCTCCTCTCTTCTCCCTCCGCACTCTTCCACCCCAAAACCAAACCCTCTCTCTTCTCCCCTCTCTCCAAACCCCTCACTCTCCAATTCTCATGCCTCCACTCCACACCCTCCCTCTCCCTCTCCCTCGCTTCCCGGACCCACCGTTCCCCCCTCCTCACGCTCGTCGCCCAAACCTCCGATTGGGCCCAACAAGAGGACCAGCAACAGGGCCTCAGCGAATCCGAAGCGGGCCTCGACGATTGGGAGCCCAACGGCCAAGTCGCCCAAGAAGAGAGCTTCGTCGAACCCCCGGAGGAGGCTAAAATCTTCGTCGGGAACTTGCCTTACGACGTCGATAGCGAGAAATTGGCCATGCTTTTCGAACAAGCCGGCACCGTTGAAATCGCCGAGGTGAGAGAGCCTCTTTAATTTCGATTGCTGTTGATGTTTTTGCGTTAGGTTAGGGTTTGAAATCAACGTCTGGTGGTTCTTTCGTTGTGGTTTTAGGTTATTTATAACAGGGAGACTGACCAGAGTCGTGGATTTGGGTTTGTCACCATGAGTACTGTGGAAGAGGCTGAGAACGCTGTGGAGAAGTTCAATCGCTATGTAAGTTTTTCTATATCACTTGTTTTGTGTTCTCATGTTAAGAGTTAGCTTCGGATTGAAAATGGAGCTGAAAAGTTCAGGTTTTGAACCTATGCACACCGATTATTCTAGCATTCCATGTGTATTTTCTAATGAAGTAAAATAGTAATAAATAAATAAAATTAACACAATGTAAGATATAAGCTAGGGGGATGAATGTCCAAGGAGTAATTAACATCGATACTTATCTAATGTCTGTATGATACGGTCATTTTGAAATGTTTTTCCTTTCTCTCTTCTGCATCTCTGGACCTGCAGGACTTCTTTTGTGTGTCTTGGTTCAATATATCTCATTAAGAAGGATGAATATTGTGATGAGCTCTGGATGCGTAACTCGTACTATAAAGATGTGGTGGTTTGTGTCTATGACATTTTTAAATACCTTATAAAGTATATAGTTACATCTCATAATTGGGAGTTTCTTCCCCTACAACTCTATCTGTAATATTTTTTCTTGTAAGGCTGAGTTGAAATTTCACTGAATGGAATCCAACAGAACCTTTATAAGTTTGCTCTTGTTAAATTTCTTGGTACTATGGAAGGAGTTTTGAGCTTGAACCATTTTCTTCCTTTAATATGAAGTCAAATGTTGTGTCTTGCATGTCATTCACAAGAGCGTGTGTATATTGTTCTTTTGGATCTTATTCATATTTTGTATGACAGGATTATGATGGAAGACTGTTGACTGTTAATAAGGCTTCTCCCAGAGGAGCTCGCCCTGAACGCCCTCCTCGTAGCTTTGAGCCAGCCTTAAAAGTCTATGTTGGTAATTTGCCATGGGATGTTGATAATACCAGGTTGGAGCAAATTTTCAGTGAACATGGTAAGATCGTGAATGCTCGGGTAGTCTATGACAGGGAAAGTGGTCGATCACGTGGCTTTGGCTTTGTCACGATGTCTGATGAGACAGAAATGAATGATGCCATTGCTGCTCTTGATGGTCAGGTATTACTTAAGTTCTCTGTTAAATCGCCAACTATTACATGCATTGATAATTAAATATGCTGGAAGGGAGCAGGATTGTTAATGTTATGGGCTCATGTTCATACGGAAAATGGTTTGAGCTTGAAAAGTATAGCTTTTGAAATTGAGTAGCTTTAAAGTTTATTTTGGGGTGATTTTCTGATACGGTGGTTTTGCTATTTCAGAGTTTGGACGGAAGGGCAATTAGGGTGAGTGTTGCTGAGGACAGGCCCAGGCGTAGCTCATTTTGAGCGATACCTCAAGTAGTCCCCCATGTCAGCTGCTGGAGTTCTCTTGCATTTTTTTAATAGCTGAGGATATAGTGTCAATTTTTTATTAAAGGAAATTCCTTTCTTGGGGCGCCAATTTCAGATTAGATTTACGTATTTTGCTGTTATTAATTTAATGTCCACATGAAAAGTAATGTAATTCCGACTCCTGAGATTTTAAGTGAAATTTTCTTCGTTGCCCTTTTCTTTTGGGCTATTGTTATTTATGAAATGAAAAAACGGGGAGGGGGGTTCTGTTGCGACTATTGTAGAACTGCTTTGTTCGACTGCACTTAAAATTCAAATAAATACTGTATTATTTCCTTAATCACCTGGTTCAGCAATTGATATTTTATTTTTGGGTGAAAATGGCTGATGATCTATTGATCATAAATGAATATTTTTGAAAAAAAATTATCTGGTAAATGGTGATTCTCAACATAATATGTTAAATATCTATCATTAATTTTATTACTTTACATGAAATAATTAAAATATTATAAGACAATTTTAAAATCTATAGTATAGATATGTAAAACTTTATTATGCCTCATAAAATATTGAAATTAATGAAATATTTAAAATTAGTTGTTAATAACACTAAAAGTAGTAACAAAACAAAAATATCATTGAAAGACATGTTTGTGACTACCATTTCTGTAACTTGAACTTCCGTGGCGCCTTTCCGCTCAGTCTCCTTTCCTGATGCCAGCTAGAGAAAGAAAAGAAGCAATGTAAAGAAATTTATTGATTCATTCATCTAACATATTTTATAATAAGAGGAAAAGTGAATGTAATATAAATATTTGGGGGAAAAAAAACTGACATGTGAATTGACTGTTAAGAAATTGTCTCAACTTTAACGAGTGATTTCAAGTTTAAATTTTATATATTTAAAAAAGAAAACATTATTATAACCTCTCCTTTGATATTTGTCAAATTGAAATTGATCTCTCTTTTATTTTATTAATTGACAATCACCTCTCTTACTGTATAATTTAATTTTTACATACCACTCTTTTTAATAATGTTAGTTCATTTGTATGTTAGAACTCATTTTCATTTATTATTTGAATTTTTTCTTTTCTCTGTTTGAAAAAGTGCACAGATCATTAGTGCCTATTTCTGCTCTTTGCTACATTTTTATTATGATAGTACAAATATAAAAGAAATGATATTGATTGATAGACTACACAAAGATACAATCAATTATTATCATCTAAAAATTCTATCATTGATATTGATCGCTCATAATTATGTTAAAAAATTTAATAACTTTAGATGTGACTTAGTAATCTCAACAATATGTATATGTCAAATATCAAAATCACAAAAAGAACAATTATGTAACATTTGCAAAATATATTTTTCATTGCATAAATAATTAAAAACAACAAAGACAAAAAAAAAATATTTAAATAGAGACGCTAAAAAGAATAAATAATAACGAGAAGTGAGAATTTGTTGATGAATAAAAGAGAAAAATTGTGCACATTAAAAATTTATTATTTTTTTATCAGAATAATTTTTTAATTTTATTTATAATTTATGAAGTTAAATAAAATTAACCTTAAGATAGATATTTGTTTTTCAAAAACTAAACGGGTGATTTGTACCACTTAGACAGACTTCACGAGAAATCATTGCAATTTCCCCTTATAAAAACTGTTACTTGTGATCCTTGAACAAAATACCTCTACTTCGACAAAATTACCTTTAGCAGAAAATATGTGATTTAGACTAAAAAATATTTTGGATTTTAAAACCCTGGTAATTTCTTTCAAAAAATTATAACGTAAACGCAAAAGGCATCCTCAAATATTTGATATCAAATTTATTATTAACGGACATGAATTCCTCCACTGAGCAGAATGTAAACCTCATACTATACAAATTCTACCAGCATATGGGTACATTCATGTTCCAAAGACTGATTTGATATCTCTAACTATAAAGCTTTAACCTTGCAAAATTCAGGAAACTTTAACTATACAAATTATAACGGCACATGTACATCGAAGATCCAAACATCACTAAAATCTAAAGCATTAGCTTCCAAAATTCGGGATTTTGGCTTTCATTTTAGTAACCTCGAAGTTGAGATTCTCGACTAGTGAGGGGCACATAACGAACGGACGTCTCAGTGCGGACACTGACGGAACCATCAGAATTCTTATCCACCACCTTTAAATCTTGAAATACGTTTCCAACAGGAATCACCATTCTACCTCCAGGCTTCAACTGGTCAATAAGTGGTTGAGGAATTTCCGGTGCGGCTGCTCCAACGTGAATGGCATCATAAGGTGCAAACTCTGGCCAACCTTGCCTTCCATCTGTCAACACAACAATTATCCATCCGCTAATCCCAAATTCCAACTAGGCCCTTATTTAAGGGTCAAGAAAAATTAATATAATCATGCAGCTACAGAAGATCCATTCGAGTCAATTGTTATGCATACAATATCACACATATTTCAGATAACCATAGCAAGAACAATACTTTTGAATCAACTCCATCCATTTTGATAAAATTCAAATCCTTGACAATTAGGTTATGTTTTCACCATTCTGACAAAATTAGAGTTTGTTTGGATACAAACTTAGAAAAGTTTTTGAGAGTATATTTATTAGAAATCAATAACTTTTTCTAAGTAGAAAAGCTTTTAAAAATTCTTCTAAACTTATATTCTAACATGCTCCTAAAAATATTCAACGTTTTTCATTGTCTTTATCCCCCTTCGTGAAACAAGGACTACATTCAATTATTGTGCAAAAATGAAAAGCTTCAATCTTTCAAATTCAATTCCACAGAAATTTAAAAAGCCATACCACCAGCATGAACAGAAAGGGAACCATCCTTCAATAGTGTAGCTGCAGCACTTTTCTGAATATTCTCTATTGAAACAGAAACCAATTCAGGAATATGCTCTACACCAACAGCCCGGCCTTGGGGTCCAACCATCAAGGCAAAGCACGCAGTCAGGTACCCTGTTCCTGCACATAGGCCCAAATGTGGAAATTGTGAACACTGAATAGATAATAATGTGAAAAGGCCAAAAAACTGTGGTGAAACAGAACGCCAGTTGGTCCATTTAGCAGTACATCTTACTGATCTTAGAACCTTTAAAATATCCACCATGAATCGGGATTATACAAATCAATTGGAGGAATCTAATCCTAATTGTTATTCAACGAACACCATCACAGTTCTACATCACAATCTTGCTACGCTTATATAACTCCTCCAAGGAAGGAGGGTGTCCTAGAACTAAGAAACTACTCTTCATCCACATTTTATGCAATCCATCCATTGCTCAAGCAACAATATCCAGTCATTTCAATTCACCCTTATCGTTACGTCTTGCCAACAACTTGTATAACATATTCTAATCTATCTTAATAATCAGTCTCATTAACACAGGACAGTATCAATACCCATTTTACCTGGGAAGTTTACGTACACCTCATCAACAACAAATCAAATACACACAAATAGTAATGGAATGCCAAGAAAAACTCCATTAACTAACGTGCAAGAAACCCCCACTTCACTTGAATGTGTTGGCCTAAAAATTAGAAAACAATAATAATATAATTTAATTATAATAGCTTCATGGATGAAATACCAGAGCCAACATCCAGAGCATGCATCCCAGGCTTTAAATTCTCCTCCAGCAACTGAAGACACATGGCATGCATATGCGGTGCAGATATAGTGGCATTGTATCCTATGGCCATGGGACTGTCATCATAAGGTGCAGCCCCATCAGGTACAAACAAGGCTCTATCAACCGTCTCCATTACTTCAGCCACCTTACTTGATGTGATTACTCCAAAGCGTTGCAACCTCTCCACCATTGCTTTGTTCTTACTCACGCCACTCGCAGAGCAAAATCGCTGCAATTTTTTTTTTTTTTATTTTAGAAAACTTATTATGGATGCAAATAATTACATAGGACATGGTTAAGAAACACTAAGAGAAGATAAAGGCTAGGAAAAGAAAATAAGAAAAGGCCCTATTTTGTCTATTTTTGGCACTCCGACCATAACCACAGAGAAACTTAATGGAAAAAATTATTTATCATGGGCTGCCTCTATGGAACTATGGTTCCTTGGTCAAGGGTACCACGATCACTTAGAAATGGAAAACGCTGAGGGTTCAGATGAAAGTCAGGCTAAATGGAAGAAGCTTGATTTTCAACTATGTGTTGTGTTGTGGTAGTCGGTTGAGCCCAATATTTTGGGGATCCTTAGAGCCTTCAAAACTTGTTGTTCTTTCTGGAAAAAGGCTCAAAATATTTATGCAAACGATATTCAGCGGTTATATGATGTTGCTCAGAAAATAGCATCCTTGAAACAAATTAATCATGAAATGACGTCTCACATTGTTGAAGCCCAAGCTGCTGTAGAAGAACTAAAAATGTTCCTGACAGATGATTCATTAGAGGGAATAAATAAGAAACTTGATAGGCTATATATGGTGCTGATCCTGAGAACATTGCACCCAGACTTCAATCATGTTCGTGACCAGATTCTGACCGGCCACGAGATTCCTTCAATGGACAGCCTAATAACTAGACTTCTTCGTGTTCCTACAGAAGTGAAGAATGAAAACTCTGGTGGAATTGTTGAAGCTTCTGCAATGGTTTCAAGTCAGGGTAGAGGTGGTCGTGGAAATCGAGGAGGAAGAGGAGGTAGAAGTGGTCGTCCTCAATGCTCATACTGCAAGAGGATGGGTCATATCCAAGAGAATTGTTATTCTCTTCATGGTTTTCCAGAGAAGATAGCAAATCTGTCCAAGTCTGAGAAATTAGGAAAATCTGAGATGAAGGTTCCTGAAGATGACTATCAGGAATATCTTCAATGGAAATCTATGAATCAAGCTCAATCTTCCTCTACCACTACTGTTTCTACAGCTTGTATTTCTCATTCAACTGCAAATCAAAGTCCATGGATCATTGATTCAGGAGCCTCTGATCACATAACTGGTAATAATTCTATGTTTTCTTCCATGTCCCCACTTAAATCACCTCACCTTATTTCCCCCGCCGTCTGCCGCCGTCTGTTACTCCGGCGAACCTAGGGTTCGGTGCACCTTGTCAAGCGCGACCTAACCCCATCAACTCCGGCGTTGTCAGAGTCTCCACGCCCTCTCACGCGCCGTTTCTCTCTCCAGTTCTGTCAAGCGCGTACTGTTCACGCGCCGCTCTCTGTTCGTCGGAACCTCCTCATTCTACCACTGTCTTGTTCGTCGGAGCCTCCTGAGCCTATTTCTGGACTCAGTTTTGTGATTTGACCACTATTTAAGGTGTGGGCCTGCGTCTCTCTTCTTCGATTCTTCTCTCTTTATTCCTGTTGCACGACCCATCCTCTTATGGCATCTCCAGGCCCTATTTTGTCTATTTCTGGCACTCCGACCATAACCACGGAGAAACTCAATGGAAAAAATTATTTATCATGGGCTGCCTCTATGGAACTATGGTTCCTTGGTCAAGGGTACCACGATCACTTAGAAATGGAAAACGCTGAGGGTTCAGATGAAAGTCAGGCTAAATGGAAGAAGCTTGATTTTCAACTATGTGTTGTGTTGTGGTAGTCGGTTGAGCCCAATAACTTCACGAAGCGGGAAAGTCCGAGTTTTCCCAACAAAAAAAAATGAAACAAACTTCCAGATAAGCTAATTTGCCCAAGAGTCTGTTTGGAAAAACTTTTTCACAAGTACTTTAAGCAAAAGAAAATAAGAAAGAAAAATAAAATAAAATTTTCAAAAAATTAAATTTAACTTATGCATAAGCTAATTTGGAGAAGAAGGTCTTTGATATTAGCTTCTTCAAAATATATTTTTTAACTTGTGTAAAAACGAAATTTACCTTTTGCAAAATTAGTTTCCTTTTTTCTTCTCATTTTATCCCTAATGCAGAAGTTTATCTAAGCACGTTCTAAGCTAATTAGTAAACTCTCTCATGTTGGGCTGTTCAAAAGTTATTTTTAATGGAGAAGTTTATCTAAAGACGCTCTAAGCTAATAAGCTAATTAGTAAACTATCTCATGTTAGGCTATTCAAAAACTTATTTTTAAGCTACTAAGCTAATTAGTAAACTCTCTCGTGTTAGACTACTCAAAAACTTGTTTTCAAGTTACAGAGAAGCTTATTTCCTTTTGACATCCTATTTTCTTCTCACAAGCGGTTTTTTCAAACATATCCTAAATTAATAACAAAAACCCTAAAAAATAAGACGAATTTAACGCAATCGTCGATGAATTGAATGAATATCGGGTGAGTTGGGGGGGAAAAAAGAGAGAAAGTTGAAATTGCGAAAAGAAAGAGGTTGCATGGTTGGATTACCTGCATCCTAATGAAGAGAGTGTTCCCCGTGAGGAAATTAGGGTTTTGGAAGAAGAAGAGATTGGGGATGATGGAAGAGCGAGGAGGCGAGTGGTTGGAGAGGGTGAGAGGGAGCGAGTGAGTGGGTTTTGATGCATAGGGCAATGCAGGTAAAGGGTAGTAGTGGAACTGCACGCTCATTTTTCCTTTTCTCGCTCTTTCTTTTCACACGCTCTCCTCATATATTACCCACACGTGTCAACCCAATCTTCAGGCCCGCCCTATGCGTGGGCTTCGGATATTCACCTCACCAGTCAATCGGTGCATTAATACTATACTATCACCTCTTTTATATTCTCTTTATATTTTATTTAAAAAATTAATAATAAAATTGAATTTAAAATTAAATAATAAAAACAATTAAGTAATAAAAATAGTATAGTAAATAGTTGTTAAAAAAATATAGTTACTAAAAAAAATTATTAATTTTTTAATAATAAAAAGATATAATAATCTATCAAATGTGAAAATTGAAGGTGATTATTGAAAGGAATATTTTATTTATATATATTAATGAAGATGATACACTATATTTTGCTTTAAAAAATTAAGATTATCAAGTAATAAAGATAGTTAAATAATAAAAATATTAAAATAAGTAATTATTTATATTTTTATATTATTAATATATAAAAGAGATATCTTTTTAATAATTATTTTACTCTTCATATTTGATAGATCATTATATTCTTTTATTATTAAATAAAAAATAAAAAATAATATTTTTATCAAATCTAAGACTTGAATTCAAGAATTTGAGGTTTGAGGACAAATCACAACACTTGTTAAACTCACATACTTTTTTAATAAATCACCTTTGATCTCCATATTTTATAATTCATTATACTTTTTTATTATTAAAAAATGTGCAATTATTTTAACTAATAAAGTTGAGACACTTCATGTCTTTGTTAAAAATAAAAAAAAAATTACAATAAGTGTTGTGATTTGTCCTCAAATCTTGAGTTCTTAAATTGAAGTCTTAAATTTGATAAAAAAAAAATATTATTTTTTTAATAATAAAAAATGTATAATAATCTATCATATGAAGATAAAGTGATTATTAAAATAAATGTTTCTTTATATATTATTATAGATAATAGTGGGATTAAGGTAAAAAAAAAATCAAAATTAAATAATAAAATAATTATTTTGATAGCTCTCATCCTATAATCGCTTCTATCTAAATAATATGATAATTTAGTTGCATTAAATTTATTTAATTTAACTCTTTCAAGCTGTCTAATAATTAATTAGAATACTTTGACATTGACTAAATGAGAGCGTCCAACTTTAAGACATGCGGGTGAAATTTTCAACTCATTGTTTTAGCGGATATTTTATAAGAATTCAAAGTTAAATGATTGAATTAGCTCACTCATCTGTAATTCTTATTTGCTGAAAGAAAAATTAGACTCAACGCATAATATATAACTTTCATTTTGCGTTTGAAATGTGTTTTTAATTTCTTAAATTTAAAAGTAAATTTATTTTTAATTTTTTAATTTAAAATTAATTTTTTTAATTTATATAATTTTAAAAAAATATTATTTTAATTTTTATACTTAAATTTTGTTAAAAAATTTATCAAGTACTATCATATAAGATATATTAACTAATATTCTTATTATCGAAAACATCATATTAAATTTAATTGATATTGTACAACTATCTCAATATATTATTTTTAGATATATTATTTTTTATATAAGGCAATAAAATAATATTTTTAAAAATTATAATAATTAAAAATAAATCCTAAATTCGAGAAACTAAAAACAAGTGTAGCCTAAATTTAAAAAAATAAAAATATATTTAAACTTTGAAAGAAAATATAAGTTAGAGTTCTCTACAAAGGATGTAAAATATCGTGAGGAAAATCAAGATCCAAAACTGAAAAGGAAAGGATTTTGAAAAGTGATCGAATTTGAAGTCTCAAAATACAAAAGAAAAAAAAATAACTCAATTACCTCAATAATATTATCACAATGATAGAAATAGTCTAGATTACACTTTATAAATTATTAAAAATGATAGATAAAGAATGACCTAGAAAAATCATGCGAGAATGTTGAACATGACAACATAATTTTTAACAACATTTTAACATAAAGTAATTAAATAAATTACTTTTAATTAATATTTTATATTTTATTAAAAATCTTACGTGGATCAATAATTTAATTAAATTAATGTATATAGCTAATCCCAAGCCAATTTTATGGAATTAAATTAGTCCTAAAATTAAATTTAAAAATAGTTTAATTAGGTATAAAATAAGGGAAGAAAATAGGATTAGTAAGCAATTCAATACATAACTGGTTTTTGTTTTTGGTAACGCTATACATGACTGATTCAAGTGAATAATTTTTTGAGTCAAACATTACATGCATGATGTATCATGACCATGAGCCATGACGGCAAATTGCCTTGACTCCAATGGGTCGATTCAGTGTTTGAATAGTGAATGCGCTCTCTCGCACCTTCGTCTACGACAACTTTTATGGTGTGATGGGATAAAATTTTTTACAAATTTAAGAAATTTTATAAATTTAAGGAATTTTAATTTTTTTGATATTTGAATTGCTTTAATTTTAATTTTTATCATTTTAAAATATTTTGTTTGGATAAGTCAATTTAAATTTATCAAATTTTAAGTTGTTAGGTTGGATATGATAATTTGATTGCACTATGATAAAATTGATTTTAAAAATATATTTATATATTAAAATTTTTAAATTAAATTTTATAAAATTAAATATTAACTAATTTTTAAATATTTAATAATTTTAAAAATAATATTAGATAATATTTAATAATTTTAAATATATTTTTTGAATATTCAATAATTAACTGAATTCGGTTGCCTTCTTGACCAATGTAAGCCTATCATGGTTAACCCCCCAAACTTTCATGTGAGTTTCTCCCCTAGATTTGCCAATATTGTTGCTCATAAGCTAGCTAAAGCAGCAATAGAAAATGCAAATCACTGTGATTTTTTTCATATCCTAAATTGCATCATTTATGATATTCTTAATGATATGAGCTAAAATTTTGAATTTCAAAAAAAAAAAACATGAAAAGATAAAAGATAAGATAAAATATATAAGTGAAATAAGAAGAAAAGAAATATGAAAAATTTCAAATTCTTACTCTTTTGGAAGAATTTGAAATTTTATTATTTCAAAAAATTTCACAAATGCTTAAATTTCAAATTCATTATAAATTCTTCATCCAAACAAGGTATTTTACCTTAAAAAATTTTAAATTCTTCAAATAAATGAATTACTCCATTTAAATTCTTCATCTAAATACACTATTAGTTCTTTACAAATACATTTTAGTTCACAAACGAAATTATAGTATCAACATTTCAAATAAACCTCATTCATTGTATCCATTTTCTTCATATTTCTCGAATAATTTCTTTATAATCATATTTACCGTAAAAAAATAATGATTAATTTATATTAGAAACTATATATATATATATAATTATTATATCATTTTTCTTTTAATATAGTCTATTTTATCTATAAAACTGATAACTTGGATATTTTTCAAATAAAGTTAATGTTTAAAAATGGACAAATACACGAATATGTAATTATAGAGAGGTTTTAATTGTTTTTTTAAAGATGCATGTATATTTAAAAAAAAAATAGGTGATACACTAATAATGTATAATAATTATATATATATATTATATATATATATATATATATATATATATAATATAAAAACCATTATTTATGAGAAGTTTATAATTTTAACAATAAAAGGTTAAATAGTTATATCAACGAAGATATTTAATTGGTTGACAATATATAATTATTAAATTCATTTGTAAATATATAATAATGTGAAAATGTAACATATAAATTAAAGAGAAAAAAGTTAATTGTTATCCAACCACATACCATAAATTTTCTAACTCATCAAAGTTATAATAATCACACTAAATTTATATTTAGGACGATATATATATGTACCGTCTCAGTCGGATCCCGATCTAATACCCTTTATAGGTTTTGATCCGATGATTCTTGAATATGGGTCTTCTCGGTCTGCGATCTCACCCACCCCCTGGACGAGCTCGGCCAGGGTGTACTCGGCCATGGTGAGATCGGCCAGGCTATGCTCGGCCATGGAGAGTTCGGCTAAGGTGTACTCGGCCATGGTGAGATCGACCAGGGTGTGCTCGGCCATGGTAAACTCAGCCAGGATATGATCAGCCAAAGTCCGAGTGGGTCTCACCCCTTGGACTGGTCCGAGAATCAAGGATGAAAAGTCTATCTTTGATAATCAAATATTCCCAAGGAAAATCGTTATGGAAATCCTCGCGCTCACAAGGCCCAGGAGGCCCACAAACAGAAAAGTATAAAACCTAAAACCCTAAAACTAAGACGACAGATTACACTTTTGAATGCTCTGGCTTTGAGGTTTGACCTAGACAGAAATCCTAGTCCACTCTAGCCCACTCTTTGGTCGTGACAATATATATATATATATATATATATATATATATATATGTATATATATATATATTTACTTTATCAACTCCTCACGTACCATAATTTATTATACATCGAAATTTCTTATATATCTTAATTACCAAATAATTTAGTGCCTCGTGGTATTATAATTTTTATATGCAAATTACTATTAAAAAAATTTCTTACGCTTTAAAATTTCAATTATGTTGAATAACATTTTTTTTAATTCGCATCATGATAGGTTAATTATCTTTGGTCCACCGGTTTTTTTATTGATTTTTATCTTATGTGTTTGATAAAGAGAAAGAAAAATTAAAAAGTGTAAAAAATTATTAAATAATATAAATATTAATATAACTTTTATATATATATTAGCAGAAAAAGAAAGTACTACATATTTATGTTAAAAAGTAATAGAACAATTATTTATGTTTTAAAATAAAAGAAAATGAAAAATGTCTATATAAAAAAATGAACAAGAAAGACTGTTATAAAAGAAATACAGTATCACATTTATTAATAGTATTGATATATTTGGCTTTGCATAACTTGGTCAATTTTCCATACATCATTCGATTAAGATAAAGTGGTCCATTTTGGCTTTAATCACATGATTGTTTTGTGTATTACATAAGTGCAGAAATTTTTAGTCGTATTTAGCTCTGTATTGTTGAGAATTTGAGATTCAGCTTGCATGTGATATTAACAACGACGTACATATCATCTTTATTTGGTGTAAGAATTTAATAAGTTAGTGTGACGAGCAATGCATGTTGCTAAAAAAATATTTGACAATGCTTCCATCATTTTATATATTCATTCTCACAAAGCCTTCAAACCAAAGTTTTCTTAGATTCTCTGCTAAAATATCTTAATTCGAAAATGGCTGTTTCTTCATTGCTGAGACTGGTCGTTTATATCTCGAAATGATAATATTTTATGCGTAACTTTATAAATATTATTTTTCAATTTTATAAATTAAGTTAAGTAATTCTGAATACGATTTTATACTTTAATTCTATGGGTATTTATTTTGATAACTCTGGATATCTTAAATTGTACATCGGCAATCTAATCAAGTTTGACCTTAATTATATCATGTGTTTGGTTTGAGTTTGACGGTAGAAAACATCATAAATGATTTTGCCCCTTCTGTCAGATACTACTTCCAGTTATATATACAAAACAATAATAAATTAATTTATCGAGATTAATAAAATTATTTTAATTAATAATATTATTATTTAAACTTTTGTTTTAAATATATCATAGAATTAAATAGTGTAAATAATAAACATATTTAATAACACTACTCATAATTAAATAATACTCTTTTAATTAATAAATATGAATTATTTCGTTAATAACTAAAAAAATGCTTTCACTTTTAAAGAAAAAAAGTCAATGAGTCATTAATAAAATCATCATTACATGCATGGCTTGGTACTTACAACTTATGTACAAGTCTGTAATGGACACACCCTTGACCAACACATAAGGAACCCGTCCTTAACGAATCCAGTTTCGATTTTTGTACTTGTTATTTTACCTTGAGCTCCTCTAGTGTAATGTCTTTCCTCTTTATTAACACTCTGTTTTTGGTAGTGTCTTTATGAACACTGAATCTATTAAAATGTTTAAATTCAAAGCTATAATCTTTATCGCTGAAAAAAAAATGAAAAAGAAGAAGCATAAATTGTACTTTAAAATAGAGAATACAACTAGTGTACATGTTACTCCTGTCACTGATAAATACACAAAGATTCTTCATAGCTGTATGTGCTTTAAAGCATATTATTTTACAAAACCATACGGGGAGATCGCGATTTTTTAGTCATGTTTTGTTTAGTGTTTTATTTTTGAAATATTTTATTTTTTTCTCTTTTTTTATAAATCATTATATTTTTGTATAATCTTTTAAATTTTATAAGATTTTTTTTTATGTCAACATAGTCTTTTAAAACATCAATTGAATAAACATTTCATATTATAATTTAAATGAACTTTGAAAAAAAGTAGTAGATAAATCACTAATTATTCATAAAATTAAATAGATGAATTGAATCCAATTCATTTCTTATTTTTATTGTAATAGATGAATTGAATGAATTTATTTGTAGATAACTTGAATGGATGGATGATAGATAAATGAATTAATTTGTTATTTCTAATAGTGACATATAAAAAATATCACTATATATACATGTAAATTTACTTAACATATAATTACATATAATCATTTGTTACTCCATTAAAATAATTACACATGTACTTTAGTATAATCTCTACAAATTAATTTTTTACCAAATAGCAGTTCTCAAAAGAAAGATGAGATGATATAACAAATTAAAAGTAATGGATTGAATAAAGTATTTTTACATTATCATATAATAATTACTTTTATAGTCATATTTAAAACTATTATTATTATTATTATCATTTTCGTACAACAATTATAACACTTAAATTTAAACTTAATCATGCAAATAATCCAAACTCTCGTTGAGTCGATTTTAATCGGTTTAATTTCTGCGTGGACGATTTTTAATTATTTAAAAGCATACAAAACTTTACACTCTTAAAAATAAAATTACCAACAACAATAATAATAACCGACAAGCTAGCAAACAATTAATGGTAATAAGAATGATAGTTGCAGTAATAAGTTTGGTTGTAGAAATTCCAACCTTCTTTCTTTCACTAGTTGCTTTCTTTTAATAATCTAATTTTGTAGTTATACTCACAGGAAAAAAAACTAAGATACCTGATTGATTATCTGCACGCAATAACACTGACTTGCTGGGATCAAAATCCCTTATAAAATATAAGTTAAGTAGTACTGAACTCAGGGCCTATTTGACCCCCCCCTATCCCCTGGCCCACACAAATTCTTTCTCCTTTCATTTTAACTCTACTTTAATTTCACGAATAGAACATATCCTTATTAGGTAGGTATAGGGATGAGATCTATTCTCACCACGTGTTACATCAAATCTTGTAATTTTAATAACTTTTTTAAATAAATATATTATCTAAAAAAAATTAAATCATGTAAGATTTGATATATATAATTTTAAAAATAATATCATATGCTTTAAATCACTAAATTTACATAATATAAAAAAATTATTAAAAATATAAGATTTAATTTAAGTGTTTAGAGTTTGATATGTACCATACATAAGCTTTAAGTCATTAATTATATATTCCATAATGCTTACTTAGCTACACAAAATGAATCAAATTACTGAGGTAAGACAGGTGACTCGGCATCTATGATGTCACAAAAGCGGCAGAGATCACTTTTTTGCTTTGGTAGGCTAAACTAATGATTATGCTAACGTGGCCTGAGGATTAGAAAATTAATAAATGAAATGTTCACTTTGTTTTGTGTACTATGCTGTGTATGCACGTAACGGAAGGCAGGCAGGGTCCACCGCAAATGATGTGTATTCTTATCCTAAACAGGAGGATCGCTTTAGCTTTTGTTTTATACCCTCTTGCAAGCAAGGTACTTGTTCAATAAGGCTTTATTCCACTTCATGCTGCTATATATATGTTTCAAGAACAACCACGTATACTCAAGCCAATTAATTCATTTCCTTCTCACGCAGTCTTCTTGAGCCATTTCACCAACATGACCAGCTACCCTCCTCGCCAGCTACCATCATCTACTCCTAAGATGTCTCAAAGGAAGGAGCGACGCATGTTCTCAACTTCTGATGACAGTGCCATGACCAAGCAAGTTCAGGCCACGCATGCACCTGATGGTCGTGATATTGATGTCAAACCAATCCTCCAAATCGTCGACGAAATCTTGGTTCGATTCATTGCTCGCACTGTTGAGGGTCATGATGTAAGACTCATTACATTTTAACTATGCCACATTGCATGCATGTGCCCAATTAATGTTTAAACACTTTTTTTTTTTTATATTTTTTTTATAATATGAATAGGCTTATGTGTGTTTCATTTGGTAGGTAAGACGAGACCAAGATGCATTGGAGATGACTGCTGCTCTGGCTGAATTTGACATGCTTGATTCGCTGGCTTATATCATAAACAAAATTTCCTGCGAGGTTCTTTTCATATCATAATATCTTTACTTTTATAAAAGTTACTGTTATCTAGGATAAAATTTACTAAATGTGTCGCAGTGGAAAAGTGTGATTCCATTCCTTTTTTAGTTCTGCGTAGAATATACTTGCTTTGGATTCATGTGCCATGGGGTTGATATACATGTATCAATCTTACGCATTTTTTTGCAACTCTTTACGTCCACCTCACTCTTTTTGATGCGGATCTTTTTATCTCTTTCTTACATTACCATTGACATTTATTATTTTCATATTATTATTGTTGGAGTTAATCATCCTTATACTAGTATAAGTGTAAAGTTTTTTATACCGACAATCAATCATATATTTTTTAAAGTTATTTATTTTATTATTATTTTATTAAATAAGTAACTGACATATCACTATTAAAAGATATGATTAATTATCGATAAAAAAGACTTTATACTAATAATGATAGTATATAGGTAATTATCTATTATTCTTATTCACGTTCTTTTCCTTCCTCGTCACTTTCATAAAAAATAAATTCTTCTTGGTTTTCTATTCATTTTTCTTTCCTATCACACTATTTTGTCGCATTGATCACTTTCTCTCTCTTCCTTAATTTTTTCTTTTCTATCTCTGCTCTCTTTTAATCTCTACACTTTGGAGACTTATTCTTGAATATGTGAAATTATTCCTAGATCATTTTAATCAGAATTTTATTTCTACAAAGTCTAAAAAGTAAAAGGATCTAGATAAGTTATTAAGGAGCAGTACCTGACTATATTGGCAGCTGTCATGCAAGTGCTCAGGAGGTGGCGATGCACATTCATCAACAATGGTTTTACTGAATTACATGTCTAGCTATGCATGGCATGCGAAAGTTGTGCTAACCTTAGCAGCTTTTTCTGTTATTTTCGGAGAGTTTTGGCTTGTTGCTCAGTTAAGTACTGAAAATACACTTGCCAAGTCCGTGGCCCTCCTTAAGCAACTGCCAGACATTGCAGAGAATTTTATGTCCTTGAAACCCCATTTTGAAGCACTCATTAGGCTCGTGAAAGCAGCAATGGATGTAACCATGTGCATTGTTGAATTCAAGGAGCTACCATCTGAATACATTTCAGAGGACACACCTCCTATGTCTGTTGCCAGCACTCACATTCCTATTGCTTCCTATTGGGTCATCCGAAGTATTGTGGCTTGTGCCTCACAAATTGCTAGTCTCATAGGCACAAGAAATGAGTAAGCATAGCTAGCCCCTTTTCATCACTTACACCAAACTCAATTATTTTTTGAAATAGTAGTGACCCCCATTTTGTTGATTTCAGGTCCATTTCATCAGCCACAGAGGCATGGGAATTATCCAGTCTGGCTCACAAAGTTACTAGTATATACGAGCACCTCAAGAAGCAATTGCATCTTTGCTACCAATATATAGGTGGGTTTGCTATAGAAAATTATAATTAATTAGTAACTTAATTAATTTGGATATAACCCGAACTCAAGATTCTTCATACAACATTGGACTAATTTAAAGGGTTTTGAATTTATCTAGAATGAAGCATACTTGACAATTGCAATCTTTGCAGATGACAAGAGGCATGTTGAGGCCTACCATAATCTGATACGCCTTTTCGAGACAGTGCATGTAGACAACATGAAAATTCTGAGAGCACTGATATATGCAAAGGATGATATTCTTCCACTTGTGGATGGAACTACAAAATCAAGGGTATGATTTTAGTAACACGTAGTCCTAGTGTAACTAAATCATATTTCGTGCCTTGTTTTAAAACATTGACTTATTGACATACAGGTTAGCCTGGAGGTACTAAGGAGAAAACATGTGTTGCTGCTCATATCAGATCTTGATCTTTCACAAGAAGAGATCTTGGTGCTTGATAATTTATACAAAGATGCACGAACAAGGGCTGATACTCAATATGAGATGGTATGGGTCCCAATTGTGGACAAAGCGGTCTGGAATGAAGTGAACAAACAGAAGTTTGAGTATTTGCAATCATTGATGGCATGGTTTAGTGTGTGCGATCCTTTCATCATTGAACCATCGGCAGTTAAGTATATCAAAGAAGTGTGGAACTTCTCAAAGACGGCTATTTTAGTGGCCCTTGATCCACAAGGCAGATTGTCCTCCCCTAATGCTGTTCACATGATATGGATTTGGGGTAATTTGGCCTTCCCCTTCACAAGTGAGAAAGAAGAATCCTTGTGGAAGCAAGAGATTTGGAGCCTTGAGCTACTTGTTGATGGCATTGATCCTACAGTTTTGGAATGGGTACGTAACAAATTAAAATACTAGCTAGATATCTGCGTTTAATTTAATTTAATTTGTTACTTTTTGGAATATTAATTGTTCCCTCTCAAACATTGAACAGATGACAGAGGGAAAACTGATATGCCTGTACGGAGGAGAAGACCTGGAGTGGATAGAAAAATTCACAGCAACAGCCTTAAACGTGGCAAAAGTGGGGAATTTGGAGCTAGAGATGGCTTACGTGGGAAAGAGCAACGCGAAGGAGCGCATGCAGAAGATGATAAAAACCTTCATGTCACGAAAGTTCAGCTACTTCTGGCCCAACGTGACGTCCATCTGGTTCTTCTGGACGCGTTTGGAGAGCATGCTGTACTCCAAGTTGCTGCACGGGAAGACGGTGGAGAACGACGAGATCATGAGCGAGGTCATGACGGTGCTGAGCTTCGACGGCAGCGACCGAGGCTGGACCATATTCTGCAGAGGCGCCACCGAAATGGCTCGAGCCAAGGGTGACACTGCTATCGAGTGTTTGTCCAAGTTTGATGAGTGGGGGCCTAGGATGGACGAGGAAGGTGGCTTTGTGCCGGCGATGAATAATTACCTTAACACGAATAAGCCACCGCATCACTGCAACAGGCTCATTCTTCCGGGGAGCACTGGGGGCATACCGCAGAAGGTTGTGTGCGCTGAGTGTGGACGCCAGATGGAGAAGTACTTCATGTATCGTTGTTGTGTTGAGTAAGAGGAATGTTGCATGATTGCATGCATGCATGCATTTTATTAGCTGTTATACTGCTTGATTCTGTTATATATGGTTGGTTTCAGAGGTTTTCTTTTTTAGTGTTGTAAGTTATGCATTTGTGGTGACATGTTAAGATAATGTTTATGTGTATGCACTAGCTCTTGGGGACGAAGAAGCACCATCTGTTTCTGCTCACCAGTCCCTTTCTAATAAAGTGTGTTCTACGACTTTTATATATCTTACACTAGTAATTTATGTCCATATGCAAGTTGTAAACGCTTGTCCTTTTTTTTATTTTTTATTTATAAAAAATTAATACGTAATCATTTAATTAGGAACTGAAATTACTATATATATATATATATTATGTATAATGTCTTTTTTTAATAAAAATATATATTACTTAGTTCTTTTTCATGAAAAATATAACACCTCTAATCAATTTTATAAATAATAATAATAATAAAATATATGTTGAAGTGATAATGTATATTAAAATATTTTAATTAATTGAGATTTTTTTTTAAAAAAAAATTGGATAGATCAAAGATGTTTAATTCATTATTTTAAACCCATTAACTCACTAAAATGGATTAATCTACCGATCCCTTAACTCATTGTTAAGTGGGATGAGTTGTATTTTTCAATTTTTTTTATGGATTAACCCGTTTCATTTCACTTTTTTGGTAGGTCAGTCCTATCCCATTTTAGGTGAGTGGAGTTGTTATCGCAAAACTAATTAATCCAACTCATTTTTGACACTTATATTCTATTGAAAAGAATATGCTTAAATATGTTTTTAGTCCTTTAAATTTAGCATAAATTTATTTTTGATCTCTCAAATTGAAAATTATTTTTTTTAGTCCCTATAATTTTTAAAAATCTTGTTTTAATCTTTCAATTCATTAATAATATATATGAAATTGACAAATTGAAATAGTTATGCAATATTAGTTGGTTTAATGTGATGCTTTCACTAATAATAATATTAATAGGTAGATTTTATGCGTCAATATTTTACAGATTTCATGATAAAATTTGAGTATAAATGGCTAAAATAAGTTTTTTTTTTAAAATTACAAAGACTAAAAATAATAGTTTTAAATTTGTGAGACTAAAATCAAAGTCACCTTAAATTTGAGGGACTAAAAACATATTTAAGTCAAACGAATATGATGACATGAATTATAATTTGTTGAGTGAGTCAAACATTTAAGTGAACTCTTCTTTTCTCATACAACTTCTATGAATACTAGTACAAAAATTACTTTTAAAATCGGTTCTTAAGGAGCCGATGTTAAAAGTAGCTTTTAAAATCGGTTCTTAAGTAGCCGATTTTAAAAGTGATATTTTTAAAATCGACCACTTAAGAATCAATTTTAAAAGTGCTACTTTTAAGATCGGCTACTTAAGAGCCGATTTTAAAAGCTACTTTTAACATCGGCTCCTTAAGAGCCGATTTTAAAAGTGTTACTTTTAACATCGGCTACTTAAGAGCCAATTTTAAAAGCTACTTTTAACATCGACTCCTTAGTAGCCGATTTTAAAAGTGCTACTTTTAAAATCGGTTACTTAAGAGCCAATTTGAAAAGTTACTTTTAAAATCGGCTCCTTAAGAACCGATTTTAAAAGTTACTTTTAAAATTGGCTCCTTAAGAACTGATTTTAAAAGTGCTACTCTTTGTATACTGGATAACTGATTTTAAAAATGTCAACGTCTATATTTACTCTCTCTTCCTATATTCTTTTTTATTTTTCCGTCCATTCTCTTTAATCCTTCCCTCTATTCTTTTCTTTACACTCTCTCGCACTCTCATCAAGGTAATATTCTATTTTTTTTTTAATCTGGCGACCTTGCTGTAATCAGAACGACCCATTTTGGTTGCAGAACGACCCGTTCTGATTGCTGAATGGCCAGAATGACCCGTACTGCAACCGGAACGGACTGTACTGCTACCGGAACAGGCCGTTTTGGTTGGAGAACAGGCCGTTCTACAAGATGAACGACCCGTTCTGCAACTAGAACAACCCGTTCCGGTTGCAGTACGGCTCATTCTGGTTGCAGTACGGGCCGTTCCAGACTACATTTTTAGGCCTTTTGAAGAATTTGTAACAACCTGTTCCAGTTCAAAAGTCTTACTTTTAAAATCGGTTTATGCATGATCGATGTTAAAAGTATAACTTTTAACATCGACCAATGATCGATGTTAAAAGTGACACTTTTTAAAATCGACTCTTTTAAAATCAATTAGAGAGTCGATTTTAAAAGTAAAAAATGACCGATTTTAAAAGTGTTTTTCACTAGTTAAAATAGTAAATTTGAAAAAAAAAATTACTTCAAATATTAATATATCTTTCTATTTAAATCAATTTTAAAAAAACAAGTACAATGAAGTATATTCTCTATAAAGATAAATTATTTACGTTGTGCTTCAACCTTTATTCCTATAGTTAGTTTTAATTTTTATTAACCTACTTTTTTTAACTCATCAACTCACTAAAGTGGACTAATCTATCAACCCATCAACTTACTGTTAAGTGGATTGAGTTACATTTTTTAATTCATTTTCTTTGAAAGATTAAACCTATCTTGTTTTACTTCTTCGTGAGTCAATCCTATCTCATTTTAGGTGGGTTGATTCACTTTGTTATCCCTAAACTAATCCAACCAAATTTTGACATCTATATTCTATTGAAAAGAATGTGATGACATGAATTAGAATTTGTTGAGTGAATCAAACATTCAAGTGAATCCTCCTTTTCTAATACAACTTTGTATATACAAATTAGTGAAACAGAAAGGAAAAACAAAACAATTTTTTACTTCAAATATTAATATATCTTTCTATTTAAATCAATTTTAAAAAAACAAGTATAATGAGGTATTTTATTTTTACAGTAAATTTTAATTTACTCTTTCAGCTTGATTGATTATTATTTATTGTTCTGTTTTATTTTGAAGTATTCAATTGCCTTGTTGATATGAAGGTCCATGAATTAAATTTTTGAAAATTTTAAATTAAATTAAAATGATATATTTTATAAAAATAAATTGGTTAAATGGTCCATTTTTAATAATGTGAATGATTTGATTTTTTAGAAAAATTGATTCAATTTAGTACTGTGATGTAATTATCCACTTCATATTTATATTTAGATCAATTTAAAAAAAAAAAAATTGAATCATGTCAAATCGATTTTACTTTGTATAAATAGTTTGAGTAATCAAACATGTTTTATGAAATGAATTAATTCAATTTTCTTCTTCTAAACAAATTAGCTATTTTAATATAAATTAGATGGATTTGGAATTTTTATCACACCTCTACTTGTTGACGGGGATAAATAACAACTTAATTTTTTTCAAACATAATCTCGTAAATTTAACTTAAAATACACGTTTAATATATTATGAATTGTCCGATCGGATGGTCCAAATTGATTAATCCAATTATTTATATTTCGTGTTGAATAGGATTATTAATGTATCCACAAATAGTATTAACTGGCTCTCCTTTTTATAATTAGTATTATTATTTCTACAAAAAAATAATAATAATAATAACAGTCACGATCAGAAAGGAAAAAAGATGAAGAGAGAAGACAGTGGGGGGCTTATGAACGATGAATGGGGACAGAGTGAGTAATGGGGCTTTTTGACCAAAGTGGGAAAGATAGCAAATCTGTCCAAGTCTAAGAAATTAGGAAAATCTGAGATGAAGGTTCCCCAAGATGACTATCAGGAATATCTTCAATGGAAATCTATGAATCAAGCTCAATCTTCCTCTACCACTATTGTTTCTACAGCTTGTATTTCTCATTCAACTGCAAATCAAAGTCCATGGATCATTGATTCAAGAGCCTCTGATCACATAACTGGTAATAATTCTATGTTTTCTTCCATGTCCCCACTTAAATCACCTCACCTTATTACCTTAGCAGATGGATCCAGAATTGCTCCTAAAGGAATCGGCCAAGTCTCTCTGTCTTCCTCATTAAATTTAAACTCTATTTTGTTTATCCCTAATTGTCCTTTCAACTTAATCTCTTTAAGCTAGTTAACCAAATCCTTAAATTGTTCAGTAACCTTTAATGCTGAATCTTTTGTTATTCAGGAATGTGGTACGGGTCAGAAGATTGGCGCAGGACATGAATCTGGAGGTCTCTACTATTTTGAAATGCAACCACCTGTATCTTTTGTTGTTGTTTTGTCACCCAAGCTTTTGCATGATCGTTTGGGTCACCCAAGTCTATCCATGTTGAAACTTTTGGTCCCTAGTCTTCAAAAATTAGCAGAGTTAGGTTGTGAATCATGTCAATTAGGCAAACATGTTAGGTCATCTTTTCCCAAGCAAACTGATAAAAGATGTAACTCGATTTTCACCAGCATTCATTCTGATATTTGGGGTCCAAGTCATGTAACATCTTTTGGTTTCAGATATTTTGTAACCTTTATTGATGAATTTTCTCGATGTACTTGGGTATATTTAATGAAAGATCGTTCTAAGCTTTTGTCTATTTTTATGTCCTTCTTCAATGAGATCAAAAACCAATTTGGGAGACTAATTAAAATTTTTCAAAGTGACAATGCAAAAGAATATTTCTCTTCTGAATTATCCTCTTTCCTATCCTCACAGGGTGTCTTGCATCAATCTACATGTCCACATACACCCCAACAAAATGGAATAGCAGAAAGGAAAAATAGGCACCTTGTAGAGACTGCACGCACCCAAATGCTCAATGCAAATGTTCCTGTACATCATTGGGGTGATGCAATTCTCACTTCTTGTTTTTTAATAAACAGGATGCCCTCTTCTTCTCTTGAAAATAAAATCCCTTACTCCATTATTTATCCAAAGGAACCCTTGTTTCATGTCTCACCTCGAGTCTTTGGGTGTACATGTTTTGTCCATAATGTCTCTCCTGGTTTGGATAAATTATCTGCTCGAGCAATTAAATGTGTTTTCTTAGGCTATTCTCGTCTTCAAAAAGGGTACAAATGTTATTCCCCAGACGACCAGGCAGTCTATGTTGGGGAGTGGGTATGAGTCTTTCGGGCAAGCTTTGTTTAGGTCAGTGAAGTCTGTACACATCCTCCAACTTCCATTACTCTTTCGTACCATCACTACGTTCGCCAGCCACGTCGGGTATTGGATTTCCCGAATATGACCAGCTGCCATCAATTTCCTCGTCTCCTCCACTATGGCCTTCCTTTTGTCTTCTCCAAACTTTCGCCTTTTCTGGATCACGGGCTTCGCCTT